CTCACTCCCCGCCACCCCCCACCCCGCAATGCTCACCATTATCGTTGTTTTGCTGTAAGTGATCAATCATGAAAGGGATGGGCTCCTCAGGCCGGTAGATCAGTAGTTGTTCCAGCATGTTCTGTGGGCACAGAGCAGACACCCAGGTGGTTAACACCTGCAGGGGCACCCATGACCCCGGGCTCAGGTGGCCCAGCATCCTGGTCACTATGGATACCGGCTGCGGGGCCTGATCACTGCACCTCACCAACATGCCTTTACCTTGAGGCCCAGCACCTGCCCCGGCTGGCAGCTGCCCGTGTCCTCTTGAGCACGGGCATGAGGGAGCGGCCGCGTGAGTGTTGCTGGAGAGGCTGCTGGAGGGACCGTGCCCCCGCCTCAGTCAGTCCAGGGCCCATTCCCCTCTGTCCCTTTGTGCTTCCCAGACCAGCCTCCTCTCGGTTCCTTCTCATGCACCCCAGAGCCTTAGCAAACGCTGCTCCCTCAGCTTGGACTATGCTCCCTCAGCCTTCAGGTCTAAATGGAAGCCTGCCTTCCCGATCACGCTCACTAGGTAAATCCTGCCATGTGCTCCTGCAGCCCCAGGCATCCCCTTATTGCCTTCCCCTTATCCCAGTGCCTGGCACAATCACAGTAGGTGCCCAGTGCAGATGTCTGCTGGGGGACATGGCTGTCACTGCTCCCAGTGTCCCTCCAGAGTGGGACAGAAGATTTACCAGCCAAATATCTCAATAGTCCTGGGACAGCCTGGCCATTTAATTCCAAGAGAAAGAGCTTCCATGGTTCCAGAACGAAAGGCACAGAAATAAAACAGGAAGCTGAGAGGAGCTGGGCTGGCACAGTAGGGGCACCCTTTCACCATAGGGGCAAGCAGGGAGGGGCTTTAGCCCTTTGGGGGCAGTAAAAAGAGCACTGAACTGTGCGAAGTCCTAGCCCCGCTCTGCATCTCGCCATCACCAGCAAGTCCCTTCCATGCTCCGGGCCTCAGCTTCCCCAGCTATTGAATGGCACAGTTGGCAGAGGTCCTTGGTCATATATCACTGGTGAGATGGTGCGAGATGATTTTAGATGGTTCACAGATGAATATTCTTTTTTTTTAACTTTATAATTTTTTTTTAATTGGGTAATTGGGGATTGGGAACAGCGCTGGGGAATTGGGGGAAGGGGAACAGACAAGTTGCCGTCCT